ACATTAGTTTTACATACATTTAAATGTCTTGATACACTACAGACACTTCATAATTTGCATAAGTGATAAGAATCCTAAAGAAACAAAACAATAATGACATTATCTGACAGCCACAGCAATCAACATCTTGTTTTCATTGCCTACTGAACTCAAAGTTTTAAATTCGTGAGACTGCTACGCAAACCGAAATATACAGACCTGCAAATAATGCCATTTTTTCTCAAGAATGGCTTTCTGTAGGCGATTTTCCCAAGAGACAATATTTTTTTTTAAATAAAACGACTTTCTCAATGTTGCTATCCGTTAAACAAAAATACGACCTGTGTAAAAGTTTTGACCCCTAAAAGGGGGAGGTAACCGGAGAAAACTATCACTCAGTATATCGATTTGATTAAAGCTTTAAGAAATGATACACCATAATAGTCCAAATAAATATGCCAAATTTTAACGCGATCGGTAAATGGGTTATGAAGTTATTAATTAAATTAGTTTTATTTATGACAACTTTGAAGGCCTGTAACTCAAAAACCAAAAAGTTCTTATTTCTTTTTTTTTCGTAGATCGTATTTATTTATCGCCGTGAATATACAGTCAAGCGTTGTCGGTGAAATTTGCGGACACCCTGTATATAATCCGATTATGTTGCCAATTATAGGACTTGTTGAATTACGTAAGATTTGCAAATAATGTTATCCTAGTAAAGAATAAATAATATACAGCAAATTCAAACCCAGACTCTCGTAGGATCGAGCTGGTATTGGTTGGAGATTGATGAATCTCTAGGAATGCGCCTACGCTTGATTAACGATTTACCAACTTGCTGAGATTTTTGTAATTTTTAGTTTCATTTATCTTTAGGAGCTATTCAGCACTATACCTATTTCAGTTCGAGAGTCACAATACTCTCTCCTCCAGAAACATTGAAATTTGTGATTAATTTTCTGGCTGGCGTTTGCTCTGTTCATTGGCCCATGGTGTTCCGTTGCATGACATTATAGTTACCTATCTAAAGTCTCCATTCTCGTTGATTCAGGTGATAATACTGCAGATGAGAACGAAGAATGAATATGAAAATGATTAAATAATGGTGTTTTTGCTTTTTTTCATATAAATACAAATTTGTTCCAAATATATTTCATTTTATCAAAACCTTCTATCTTCTTCTTGAATTAAGAGTAGTACGATTTCGTTTGAACTAGGAGGCCCGTTGACCATATATGGACCTCACTCACGTTTGACAATTCCTTAAATATATAGCCTGGACATACCAGATAATCATAAAATAATTGATGTTAGAGGTGTATGAAGTGAAAAACGCTTAGTTTTCGAGTTATAGTTAAAAATCTGAAAAAAGTGCCGAAAATTTGAGGTTTTTTGCAATTTTCCTTGTGAAGCCGAAACTTGGCGAGGTGGAAAACCTCAGATTCGGATTCAGCACCCCAAAAACATATAGAACTGGAGAGAAAAAACTTCTACATTTTTTTCCTGGAAAAAACTGTTTCCCATGTATGTACATGGTAATCAATATACAACGGGACCTCGGAAATCATCGTTTTTGTAGCTCGTCTTGGAAAAGGTTGTCTTCATCTTCTTTGATGCATTGTTTCCTTAAGATGTCGCTTATCTGGTCAGTACATTCTTGTATATAGAGCAAATAAGTCGTCGCCAAGTTAACCTCTTTTCCCTGTTCTTAGGTTTTCTTCTTCTTCAACACTGCTTCCTCCATAAGCAGATCAAAGCAGTACTTAAGCCAAGTACTCCAGCTCATATGTCTCTTAAAATTCTGGCGCTAGATCTACGAACTAATGCATTTCCTCAATTTATTGGACTCCAGAATTATCAAATATTGCAAATTGAAGAAAGTCCTAATCTGTAAACATGATTTCCCTACTTTCTCCTCAAATGCAATAAGATGCAGGGATACAGCAACTGCAACCTATAAACTTTTTAACACGCAAAATATACCGCGAGTTTCATAGCATCAAAGTAACTTTATTATTCAAGGAGTTAACCAGAGTAAAGCGGTTTAATTTACAAACTTAGATTGTTTCAAGTTTTTCCCCAGTCCTTAATGCACTTAACTTATACGGCTTTATATGCGGATGTGCCGTTTCTGTTACTACGGAATGTATGCATAAAACTTCCTATGCAGGTGCAATCCGACAAAACAGACACATAAAACTTGTAAATCAGATGATGGCAACGGCAATATCCCATACTAAGAAAAGAGTCTTCTAATTTCTATAAAAATATAAAATGTAAATAGATTATTACATTTTCATGGCGCGAAGTTTCACTAGAAGTAACTTTTAGCTCCCAAATATTCTTTTAAGGCTGGCGTTTTATACACAAGAAATCGCGCTTTTTTAAGACTATGATAGAACATGAAAATCCATCCAAAGTGTAAAAGGAAATACAAGGATTCTTCTAATTTTTTGCAGTGATCGAAATCTTATAGATATATTAGTCAGCTCTCCACAATATTAAAGCTGTATGAAAAGTTGTTATTGGAACAACTGAAACCTACCCTTAGACATCTAATACGTTAAGTGCAGATAATTACTTTCAAAATAAGGGAATTATTAGAAGCCAAACGTTATCGCTCAAGTTGACATACAGGATTACTACTTGTATAAATTAAAAATCAAATTCCTCAATAATCTGTACACCGTACTAAAATAATGCCAGCAAAACAGATATTTGCTAGCGAGACTTACAGAATAACAAATAATATCTATAGATAAAATAAGGAATTCCTCAAGGTAGTGCAGTGCGACCTGCACTGTCCTTGATTTATGGAGCTGGTGCAGTCACATTTATAGGCGACAGACCACCTAAATAAAAATCAAATATGGTTCAAAAGTACCAAAAACTAACATACGCGAGCCAGCATATGTGACTTTCACACTTAATGAAAAGAAAACTTACCTTACCATGCAACTGAACAATCAGACTCTACCCAAGAAGGAAGAAAACAAATATATAAGAATAAATCTAGATCGCAGACTTGCCTGACAAAAACCACGACTCACAGGTAGAAAGTCGCAGCTGCGCTGGAAAATGCTACTCTATATCCATCTCAAAGTACTAGTCTACATATCCATATTAATATCCGCATGGACACATGGAATAGAATTATGGATACCAACTACCAGTTTCATATTCAGATGTTTCAACTATTCCAGTCCAAAGTTCTACAAATAATCACAAATGGTTTATCCCGAATGAAGTTATTAGTCGCAACCTCAATGTTATGAATGTAAAGTAAAAAGTATAGTGCGAATATTTCCAAGGATTGAGTGCCTATCCCAACAGATCGCTGACTTAACTTTATAGAAGACTTATTTGGAACCATAAACTAAAACGTATTGATCCGAAAGTTATGTTTAAAACGAGAAAGTCTACATATCACCTTATATCCATTAATTCATGTTTGCACTAGGACATATTGTAATAAGGAGGTTATTCTTGGGTCCATATTCTTATTTGGAAAATTCTCCATGACTTTTTATTATATCCCTACCATATCCAACGGGTTCAAGCTCTACTACCTCGCGACTTTCCATTACGGATAAACTTTTGCCAATGGTTTCTTCATAAAGTGAATGACAATCCATTATTTGACACTGAAATTTTATTCACCGATGAAGCCAACTTTTCCAGAAACGCCATCCAAAACTTCCACAACAATCACATTAGGGCTGAAGAAAACCCACATGCAATCTTGGAATCCCGTCACCAGGAGTAGTTTTCCGTTAACGTGTGGGTTGGAATATGCGGTGATTATTTAATTGACCCTATTTTCTTCATGACAGGTTAAATGGACATAATTACCGGCTTTTTCTCTAAAAAGAATTGCCAGGTTTGAAGGAGGTTGTTCCCATTTCAGTAAGAAATCGACTATGGTTTATCCACGACGGAGCACCAGCGCACTTCAGTGCTCTGGAGCGCGAATATTTAAACCAAAATTACAATAATCGCTGGATAGATCGCGGCGGACCACACTCATGGCCACCTAAGTCCCCGAACCTCAATGCTTTAGATTACTTCCTATGGGGTCATCTCAAAACATTGGTTTACAGCACACCAATTCATACTGAAGAGCAGTTGAGAAATCGCATCATAGTTTGTTGCGGAACTATTAGAACCACTCCCGGCATTTTCCAAAGAGTACGTGAGTCCATGAGAAAAATAGCAGAGGCATGTATATTTGCAGGAGGTGGACATTTCTAACATCTCAAAAATGATTTTTAATTTAAGAAAAAGCAGTGGCGTAACATATTTTTCTTCAAATATATTTAATACAAAACTTGTAACAGTTTCATTTTAGGTTGTTAGAGGTGAGAGTTCAAAATACTGTTAACCTGAACCATTGTCATGAATTGTATAAATTCTGTCATTTTCTATGCTCTGTGTCAAGGTAAGGTTAGCAGGTTAGCCAAAGGAAAAATTCCCCTAAAGTACTGAGCTAAAGAAATTTTTGAAATAAAAAAACCTTTTTTTTATATACTCCTGGCCATGCTTGGGCCTCGCGCAAATTTTGCGGATCTTTAAAGATTATTTATTGGGCAAAATTAGAGTTTTGGCAATTTTCGCAACAGAGATAGTTGGATCTAAGTGCCCATAAAAGATAATTTTAAATATTTCACTTTTAAGGCCGACCTACAACAAAGGTACGTACCTACTTTAGGTTAGGAAAAACATGTGCTTGAGCTTTACAACTCGCTTTATTAATTTAGTACACACAAGTAGACATTTGTAGCATTTACTTTTCCTTTTAGGCCTTTTTTTCTTGTGTCTTCTCTATCCTGCTTTTCTTCCTTCACAAACCGACTTAAAAGCTATCGCAGCCTTCTTGCCACACTACCAACCCGCTTCACTACTGCTTGCTGCATGGTACGCATGACAAAAGTGCGAGTATTTTGTGCTGGCCATACACTTTGCTGCACGCCACTTTGCACCCTGCACCCTCCCAGGCCTAGTGATTGGTGAATGTACCGCTTGACTCTCCGTTTCACCCAGATAGAACTTTATCGCTCCAGAGGAATTCGACCTGTGCAACTGTGCTACACACCACTCTCACAGATAAGACTAGCTATAAGATTTAGCATGTTAGAATGTAGTTTTAAGATCTGCTTATGTTTGTTTTGTTTGTATACCTTCGTCAAGAGCCTCACTCTTGTGGTATAAATTGGCTTAGGGTGCCACACTTCTTTAGAGTTATATACAACCCAACAAGGCATTCCTAAAACAACTTAGATTATAAGTAACCTTTCAGAGGTCATTACTTGTTATATGTTATATTCAACAAATCGTGGGGGTTACCTGTGTAAGCCTGTAGTACAGCGCTGTAGTAAAGGTACCATTCGGTTGGTTATTTACCCGATATTCCATTGTATACTCTATAATACTTTTATCTGGTTTGTTGGGTAATTTGCGTTATGCAATATAACATAACCCAAATTTGACGCTTTTGACAGTCAACCATAGAACAACAAATAGTAGATTTCATTCTCGCAGTTAACCTACTCGGCCATCGGCCACAAAACACGGTTGACTCGGCGGTCAGTCATCAGCCAGTGAACACTGAACAGTAACATTTACCCGCTAGGCATCAGGTGCGTTCCACTGGTGCAGGAAGTGAACCGATCACTTGTCATACCCTGACAATTATAATATTTTATAGTAATATACACCTGGTTCAGAAGTATTTGGTATCATTTTTAGCGGACCTGCCTTTTTCCCCTTTTTTTTTGTATAGTAACAACGAAGGCACTGTGGCGAATAAAATCCACCATCTTATAGGGTAGAAGTAACATCCGGGGTTGCAAAAACGGGTGGCGCCTTTAAAATTTTTGATTTTATGCTTTTTACCCAGCCCGTCTCCACTGAAGCTAGCTGCCAACCCCTATTGTGGATATTATCCGTCCCCTTCGTCCACTAGAGCCACCCAAAATTTTGGAACTACCCCCAGTTTTGTGGCGATTTCCCCAAACACCACAAACTTGTACAGACGCCACTGGCAAAAATAATAAAATTTTTTGTACATCATAAAATGCATCTCGATTAATAGAAGGCGTGCACCAAATTTGAAAAAATATCTAGGGTTATACCAGTTATCATAAAAAAATGTTTTTTCATAAAACTTTAGCACCCGTTCAAAGCGTTCAAAAGTTTAGACTTTTAGGACATATGTTCATATGGACCCAAGAATAACCTCCTTAAATATTAGCACATTATTAAGAAATACTACCCTGTACCCATTATTATAGAAGAATTAATTACTAAAAACCAGAATCAACAAATGATGTCTTAAGACACCTAAGACCCTTCTTCCAGTGTATCCGTTTGCCGAGAACTTTTCCAATCTTAGGCGAACAGACGATCGGGCGACAAGGCGGATAGCAACGGGTGGACGTGACACATTAACACGTTACGGGGGGATTGGAGCCGAGAGAGGTGGCACAGACTGTCCGCCATTCCGCCAGCTGGTTTATTGCTAAGACCGAGATCAATGAGTTTTTCGTGAGAGAAATGGCTAAAAAATTAATGCGGACCACGTCTGCGAAATTTTACACAAACAGCTTCCACCGGGAGAAGCGGATCGGTGGAATAATTGCGAGGCAATTAAGTGGAAAATTTAAATTTCATACCAGCCTAGCGATACAGTTCCTTTATGGAATGCAAATATTTTTAGATTGATTAAAATTTAAAAGCTGTCGGAAGTAACTAATGTTTTTCTTCTATGCACTTTCAATACTTCCATTCCATTACTACCTGGATAACGACGCCCTTGCACACACAGTATTGCCAGTCTATAAATGCAAATGACAGAAGTTGATGTGAGCATTGTTGTTAGTTATTTAATAATTTCTGTGACTACTACAATACAATGAGTCTCATGCAAATAATTTTATTATATGTTTATACTTATACAGACTGTTACAAATTCGCTTCTCACTACAGGGATCTCGGAAACGGTAAGAGCTACGAAGCTTAAATGGGGGGCAAACGCAATCTAAAAAAATCAAGGCTAACATGATTAGTTTTCGAAATATTTGAAAAAAACGACTTTACATATAAACATTTGATTATGCCATTCGATAAAGAGCAAAAAGTGGCTATGAGAAAATGTTCTTTTTTCAATATCTCCTCAAACAAGGCTGAAATTAAACAAAAACGGATTTCCAGAATTTCGTTTTTTTTCAAATATTTCGAAAACTAATCATGTTAGCCTTGATTTTTTGACGCATAATGTTGGTCCCCTGATTACGCAACATTGTCCCCATTTAAGCTACTTCGTACCTCTTACCGTTTCCGATATCCCTGTAGTCAGAAGCGAATTTGTAACAGCCTGCATGTATTAAGCACAGCCTTCAATAACTATTGACTACTGTTTTGAAGTATTTACTTCATACTTAAAAGAAGTAGCTTTAAATTTATTACCAAACAAATGTAGGGAAAGTACGAACTCGCTTACAAACGTATCGAAAAAATACGATCTCCCGTTCCCAAAAAGCTATGATTGCATTCTTTTCGGATTTATCTACAAAGTTGCAGGCTTTTTAGGTTGCCTTAATATATGGTGTTGCCGGTGCATGTCGCCGTGATGAACTGTATCAATTACATTTGAATGATATATATGATTTGGGATTAAAGCTTTTGATTCAAACGCAGGATAATAAAACGGAAAAACCGAGATCATTTGTGATAAACGAAACATATATGCCACTGTATAGAAAATATGTTGCTACTTTTTCGTTAAATATTGAAATGAGAGAGTAGTAGGAATACATAAACTTGGTAAAATGCCTCAAATTATAGTAAAATTTTTAAATTTGCCAAATACGTTGTTCCCTTCTCAGTTGTTTGAGGTTAATTTTATTTATTTATTTTTCATTTATTATTGATTATTATTATTAGTTAATAATGGTCGTGGGTTGGATATTTTGTTGTCCTATTTTATAATATTATTTAAGTTGTTATGATTAGTAAACCATGGGCACCAGTCGAATAAATCGACGAGGGGAAAGATAAACAAAATAATTATAATAGTTCTAAATATAATTTTAATGTAAAAATTAGTTGGGATTATATAATACAATAGAAATATGTTATATTAAATAGTACATATAAAATTTTAGAAAATTTAATTAATTGAAAGGGCCGTCCTTTTCGGTAAGTATAAATTTTGTTTTTGTTATTTTTATAAATAGCTGTTTATAAATGTAAATATGTATAAATATGAAAATATATAGTTAAAGTTGTTATGTTCAGGTTTATGTACAATTACAGGAAAGTATTAACATATAAACGTGCAAACTTGCAAAAAAACAAACAAACTTACAGACTAAAATGACTAGAATATTTTAAAAGCGAAGGTACATTTATAAACGTTCTTCACGTGCTCTTATGGCTTATAAGATTTAAATTTTAGGTGATCCTTTGCTGGAGAAGACAGTGATACTGCTCAGTATAGTCTGGGTGGAACCCAGGAGGTAAAAGAAGAAAATGTACTCACTCATTCACAGGGATTTGGTACCTTACAAGGACATCGTCAGTAGTACATTTATAAGAAAATGGCTGTTCTCTGATATGGCTTCAGAATTAGTGCCATTTACTCTCTAAGTTTTATATTACAGAGGCAAATATTATCATCTTTAGTGTGGCTGATGGTGTCCGGCTACTAAATCTTCGCCAAAGCAAAAGCAGTGATAGCAATTTGTTTTTTGTTTCTTTTCTCGATATAATTAAAAACCACAATATATATAGTTTTGTCTTATTTGATCTAAATGGAAATGTTATAAACATGTTATTCAAATCAAAGTTAGATATGAATATCTATTAAATATAATGTATTATTGTTATTATCTTAGATCTTATAAGGCTTCACACTAACGGCCAACTTCTCACTGCGAATCGTCTGTGTCTTTATTTTGCGCGATTCTTTTTCTACTTACAAAAACTTATCGCTATATGCTAGGAAATATTGTTAGCATTCGAATTGAACGCTGAAATTTTATTAGGATAATAATGAAACTAAATCTCGGGAAATATCAATAGCCCACACAAAAAAAACATAACATATTTAGCCTCTTGTGCAGCTTATTTATGAGTACATTATAAATAATACAAAGCGAACCATTTGAGAGTGCTACAACATACAAATACACAGGACCTTGTTTTGGTTAATGCTGAGGCAGATTTAATTGCATTGAAAGGACATGGAGGATGGAAATCTTCAAATTTGCCGAAGGATATATAGAGGAATATTTTACAAATAAGCTAGATATTGCTAGATATAGAGGGGGATGTGACAAAGAGAAATTTGCTAATTGTTTTTATATTGTCGAAGAATAATTTCGAGTAAAATTCAGGCAAAGTTTAATAGTTCTACAAACTGCAATATTAACTATAAATAATATTAATAAATAGGTATAATAAACGTTTAATATGTGGAATACGTTCCATAAATGTTATGTTTACTAAGTAATGCCTTTTCCATGTCATGTCATGGTTTGCCTGCGAGTATTTATGAGTATTTACAGTAAAAAAAATATAGAAAAAGAACTTACACAGCCTAGGAAAAGTTAATTGTCCCGTAGTGTTCACTAATTCTTGCTTAGCAGCGAACTAAAATACTACACTACATTTCCACGCAATTTCAGTAAAAATAAAAGGTATAAGTAATACATACAAGTATTAATATTGTATGAAGTGTAACAAATTTAGAAACAGATTCACTACTAAAATAATACTTAGCAACCAATATACGTAATTATGCACTAATGTATTTACAAGATATTGCTTTTCGAGTGTATATGAACTGATTTCATTAGTTTTAAACTTAATATTAAAGTACATTTGTATGTACCTGCTTATTATATGTATTCGTATATTATGGTAATATGGATGTCTAGCACCTTTTCAAAACACCAATATGAAAGTTTAAACCAGTAACTTGGAATAATTTAGGCAAATCAGAAACCGCAATATAAACATTTCAGTTTAAATTAGGAATACCCTGTCAATCTGAGAAACATTAGTTGATGCTTACTATGGTCAAATAGAAACTGTAATTATAATCAAGTGAATTAATATTACAAAGCCACATTGTGATTATATTTTGTCTATTCGTTTATTATTTTTAAAAAATTATTGGACTTGAGAATTACTAGATGTAATAAATCAATTTTTATTCGCCCCTTATCTTCTGTATATTTTCCTTTTGCAAATCTATTTTAATAAAGTTTTAAGTCTACAAACTATAAAAAATTACAGTATAAATACAAACTTATTGACGAGTGAAATTATTTTGATGATGAATTTTGAATGAACTTAAATTTTAACAAAGAAATGAGCTAATCAATACAATTGTTAGTCAGATAAATTAAACTATGTGGGGAATGGGAACACACTATGTAAAAATCATTCAGTTCGTTATTAATATTACGCAT